TTTGATCTCCTCATTCCACTGTAATTTTTTATACTTTCTAGACTCTTTGTGAATCATTTATTTAATTCAAGCATCTCTGATTTATAATTCGGGTCGCAGGTTCATTTGATTTTTTTCCTACAAAAGTTTCTAGTTTTCACTAGGTTTCTAATTTTCTGAGGCAGTGTGAGAAAATTAATTTAGCATATTTTAATTATATCTTATTTTACTAGATTACCAGAAAGGTCAACTTGCTCTACTTTGTAAAAAAAAAATATTTTCTAGTAATATCAAAATTAAAGTTATTTTTAGTTAAGTTTTTTTTCCTCATTTTTTGTAATTTGACATATTAAAAATATTAAGTATCATGAGAAATGCAACATCACTACTGTTGTCTCATGGTGACACTTTTAAAGAGTGGGCGTAATTTTTCAAATTCTACATGGTTTACTCTTCAATTCGCGACCAATTTATTAGAATTTTGTAAAAAGCGCGATAGTTTTTTTTTCTAGTTTACTTTTAAAAGTAGATACCAAGAAGGATTTTCCTTAATTTCTCAACAAGAACAATTTGAACTGTAAATTATAGTGTTATTAAACAAATAATAAATAATTAAAATTTCTACCACTTTTTACATTTTAGTTGCCTGTGACGTCGCTGCATATCTTTCGGAACTTATCGTCGTTTTTCTTCTATAATGCAGTTAAAGTGGTTGATAAATTGATAGAATTCACACATTCAAAATTACAATGAGCTTAGGTCTATTGGCATTTGTTTATATGAGAGTTTTAGATGAAAATCTCCAAAAATCTTAAGACGGGATTTCCACCATTTGGAAAAAGTAGTCGGCCGGCCATGTTTGATATTTTTAGGATTAGTCATCGCGTGGCTAGAACTTTAAAATTTTTACTATGGTGTAGATAAATTTATGCATTTAAAATATAGGAGATAAAGTTTTAGTAAGTACCTTTTCAGTCTAACATGTTGAATAAAAACTAAAAGGATGTGACGTATGAGAGTTGGCAGTAAACGATGATTGACTTTTGTATTTATACGAAAGATTAATGAAGATGCCAACATTAAAATGAAGGATTTTACATTGTATGATATTTTGTTTAAAAAAAGTTGATTCAAGAAGGAAATCTAAAATAAACTTTAAATTCGATTTGGGGGGGGGGCTCTGATAAGTGTCCCGGTGCCATTGCCCCGTATGCCTCTGCTTTTGTTAGGCTTTTGGGAAAGCATGCTTGGGGAGTCTTCTTAATCCATTCGTAGTTTGTTGTTTTGAAATTTAAGTTTAAAGAACGCTTTATATTGATGCAAACACTACAAGTATAACAACATTTGATGGCTCCCTTTTTCAAGCTTAAGCATTAAAATCAATCGGAAGTTTTAAATAACACTATCTGTGCTTAGCTTTACACTGTCAACCATCCATGAATATATCCACGAATCTTATCGCAGTCGGAAACTAAACTCAAAACTTTTCTCTTTTTAAAGGCAGTAATAAACTAATATGGTTACCTTGTGTCCCTTGTTAGTGCGTTCCACGTCTTGACCCTTCCCTTTTCAGTTGTATATACCGCAATATTTTCCCCTTTCTTAACATTTTTCGTATTTAATTGTAAAAAGTATTTTCTTTTTTAAAGTTTCCAAGACATTTTTTTTCTTAAGAACTATGTACAATTTCATTTTTAGATCCAAATAGTTTCCTGACTTAAGAGTTCTTAATTTATTTGAAAATCAAGACGGAAACTAGCATACTTCCTTTTCCTATGACACGCCACATGCTAATGATGAAAGCATGCGAAGTGTTGCTATAGGTAAAGAGTTCTGATCCACGCCACCTATAGCCCATTACGCTCGCAAGTTGCGATTAGTGTTTAAATTTACGCGTAATTATTTTATTCTTAAGAGTTTTCTGTCATTTATAAATTCAAACGGGTCGTGAGCCCAAAACAAATTTTGCAAAATTTATATCACAGCATAAATAAAATGTAAGGTTTGCCACAGTTTGAGTGTTATCCCTTATTTGGCTATACTTCAGCAAAATAGTACCGTTTGTTATTTTTGGGGTAGCATGATAGCAAGCTTGCGGAGTCTTCCGAATTCATTTGCTTAAAGTTAGACTGAAGGAACGTATGATATTGAAAACACTACAAGCATAATTATATTGGATGATGCGTTTTTTTTAAGCTTAAGCATAAAAATCAGTCGAAAGTAGTAATCCGGAAGCCTTACGGCGAATTTTAGCTCCTAGCGTCGCCTTTACTTAGCTGTACGTGGTCAGCAATCCATTGATGGTACTACCCAAAAAAATATCAACTGGCAATATTTTACTGGATTATAGCCAAATAAGGGATAACACTCAAAATGTGGCAAATCATTTATTTTATTAACGCTGTGGAATTATTATTTTTTTTTAAATATTTTTTTCGGCTCACAAGAGAGGCTAGTGTTTATAAATTACAGAAAACTCTCATGAATGGTAAAATTTCGCGAAACTTACTAGAATATCAAGCCTGTTCACACAGAATATCACTCCTAAGCGGAGGGATACACATAAAGCTTTCTAAATTTCTTCCGGTAATAGGAAGTTTGTTATTGTTTACATTCAGTCAACCATCCTTAGAAACAGGAGTGTCGGTGACAAGGTATTGTTTTTTTATTTTAAATTTATAATTTTATTTTTTAATTGTTTTTCCACAATGCTTTTATTAAAAATCAAAACTCTTCACTTTAATTTTGCCTTATGCAGTAAGCATGCAGTAGGTTATTCAAATTATTGCATTAATCAAAAGAGGGTATGAATTCGATATTAATTTACCTTAATAGTCGTAAGATAATCGTAATATCCTAAAACTAGTATGGTACATAATGTTATTTGTATTATTATATTATATGTGTAATGATTATTGTCCTCTATTTTCAGCTACATATTTATGTACATCCTAGGTTTAGCCGTTGTTATTTTCAACTGGTCAAAATGGACCTGTGTGTACTACATGTAATAATGTAAAAATATAGTATATAAATTAAACAAATAGTATGTCACTATTAAAGGTTCAATTATAAATGAACTAGCTGAACACGCAACGTACAGCTGTCCATGTGAGAAGCATGGATTTATCAAATTTAATATACATACTTGCAATGATTGTCCCTGTGCTTTGTTAATGGTCATTGCAAAGGCTAGTCGTACAGGAAACTGTAGATGTTTGAATTCAAATGGAGTATCCGTTGGTATCATGGGAATGCGTGGTATTAGTTCATGTTCTCCTTGATGTTTTCCATTTAAAATGGTTGCCTCAATTATGTTAGTCATTAATTTTTTACTGATAGCCTAGTCCCATTGCATAGTCGCGGTGGATTTATATTTCGTAGAAGGATGATTGGGGAACCAATTTTCAAAGATAAAATATGCGGTGGCATTCCTGGTAGATCAAATGAATTTAAAAATTCTATTGAATAATTAACTGAATCATCTTGATTGACAACAGTATCTATGGATTTATATGTTGTTTCTTCATCAGGTATTTCATTTTGAATTTTGCAGTTTATTAAATTCACATCTATGTTTTTGGCTGCCAATATAGCACGCTAACTACCCCATTGATTATTTTTATAATTCTGTGATAAATTTGGAAAAACTTTTGCAATCAATTCATCAGTGGATTTTACAATGTGACAAAAGTTTTCAGGTAAGGTAATATAGTGTGTGGATTGTTCCATTTCCATTCTACCATTCCTAATAACTAGCAATTGTTTTGCAAATCGTTCAGAAGATTCATTTTGTTGTAATTGAATACGCATATTGGTCTTTAAAGATATTTTCTCCACATACCGCCATAACACTGATTATTTGAGACATGCATTCAATTCATCTGCTGGTGTTGAACGGGGTATAACTGGTAGAGTTTGTCTAAAATCACCAACTAGCAAAATGAGTGCACCACCAAAGAGCTGCTCATTTCCTCTCAAATCTTTTAATGTGCGATTGAGTGCTTCCAATGATTTCTTGTGTGCCATGGTGCATTCATCCCATGATCTTAGTACTTTTCCCATCCCAGAATCTTTGCTAATATTACATGTTGGGGGGCCGGGATAGCCTGGTCGGTAGGGCGCTGGGCCCATATCCAAGAGGTCGTGGGTTCGATCCTCGCAGGCCGAAGACTCCCCGTGTAGTAAATGGTGACTGATGCACGTTAAATCTGTCGAGTCTCACAGTCCTCCATGTTCCCATAACAAATCAATACCTCTGGGGGTACTGATCCAGGAGTTTCCTTGTTTTCTGGATTGGTTCAAAATTACAAGGCTACGGAGTTGAACACTAGTAGTTGCAAACCCAAGAAATTGGGTCGGCTGTTCAACGACGGTTATATAAAAAAAAATTGCATGTTGGAGTTTCAATTACCTGCACATTTAATGGAAATTTCAATGATGAATGTGCTGTTCGACCACCGTTCAAAAGAGTTGCTGCAAAGCCAGATGATGCAATAGCAAGTGCAATATTATTTTGTGATCTTATAGTTGCCAGAATAATTAAAATAAGAAAATTTTTGCCAGTACCTCCAGGTGCATCTAAGAAATATAAGCCACAACTCCTGTTAGATATTTCATTTATAATTGTGTCATATGCTGTTCGTTGTTCTAATACCAGTTTCGGCAGATTAATTCGAACAAATGTTTGTAATTCATTAACATCGAAGTTCGTTTCTCGTTGTATACCACGATCGAAAATGTCATTACAAGATCTATTTGGAGCAATCATTCCCAATTCTGTCAGTGATTTGTTGGCTATTGTCAAACATGTATTCTCAATTAAAATCAATGCTTCATTGTATATATTTGATGTAAATTGAATGTTGGGGATTAGCATTTATTCTACGCATGCGATGTAAAATGTCTTTACTCATATAGTCTTTATCCCCCAAAGATCCTTTGGATTAGCCGGAAAACATGTAGTTAGTATGATGGAAAATAGTGTACGTATCTGTGGTGGTTGAGCTGTATTAGAAGCATCAGCGAGTGAAATATCCTAATGAGCATCGTTTTCTAAGAGATAATTTCTGGCAAGCCTCACGAAATGTAGCACACACTTTGCCATTGACTGTTTTTAATTCTTGGAAAGATGTTGGTCCACGAACATTGATAAATAATAATCTCAGGTAAAAGCATTCTGTGTTATTTGGATGTACAGTGTACAGGCGACCCAATGCATCTGTGGAATATAAATTTAGATGACCTTGTACTGCTCTACCTTGTTTACGACACTGAAATTTTCTTGTTGATGTATTCCACGTAAAATAAGTTGGTACTTCAGAGTACAGTAGTGTCCTTGCAAAGGTATCATTTCTACATAATGTGAAAAATTCAGTTAATGTTTTTGGCGGTGGTGACATTGCTCTTGCACGTACATTTTCTGATCTAAAATACACACGCTGTCCATTTTCAAGATGTACTGCTAAATTAACAACCGTTGGATATCGCTCATGAATGGAAAATGATAAAATACGCCATACAGCCTCATTGCTACTTATGTAGCGTCCCAGTTGATATTGGGTGACTTCATCGTTAGAAGCAGTTGTATTTTCCAGTGTATGCACTGCCATATTGCTTCCTTTGTTCACATATTTGCAAATATATTTTATAGCTTTCACTGAATTGCATTACTCAACATTTATGTGCGCGTTATACATTTTTAGTAGTAATGGAGAATATGGTACTACCCAACGATTATCAACATCAATAGTATTGTTGAGTACTTTTAGTTTAATGGATTTTCCACCATCCTCGGTAGATCGTCGTTGATAGAGTGGATATCCATAATTGCCTGTAATAGTTTCAGCAAGTAAGTCTCTAGTATACCGCTTTGTGCACTTTCCATCTGACATGCATGGTGAATTATCATTTAGTGAGCCACATGGACCATGAATCATATTTTTGAGACAATATCGTGCAAATCTCTGGTATTTCTGCAGAGATAATTTCATCAATTCTTTTAGGTGTTATCTTTTCCATCATCCATATTAAAATATGCGCATGTGATAAACCTCTTTTTTGCCATTCAATGTAATACATCCAACAGCGCGTCTCTACAAATACATGGTGTTTGACAATAAAATCCATTAAAGATTTTAACTTTTGTTTAAATAGACGTGCAGAAATATCATGACGATCTGATGGCGATTGTCCAGTTAATAAAAGCTCCTTTATTTCATCCCATGCTGGGTTACATGTAAATGTGATAAAAAAATCTGGACGACCATATGCACGAAAATACGTCACTGCATCTTGTGCATATTCATGCATGTGTCTTGGGTTGCCTGTATATGTGGATGGTAAAAAGACTATTTTTCCAATTTCACTGAGATTGCCATCATTTACACCTGCATCACGTAAATGGATATACTCTTCAGAACGCAATTTGACTTGATTTAGTCGTATGTAGAGGAGTCTTTCACCTACTATTTTTGGATACATGTCAACAATATATTGATGAAATAATTGTCTGCATTTCAATATATGATTATTAGCATTCTCACGAATCATCATTCGATATACATAATAATGCATAGCACTGACCTTTTTGTTAATGTCCACATTAGTTGTAGCATTTCTCATATTAATATTAAAATGATATCCATCCTCTCCTTGCCAAAATAGAATGTGATATTGTAGTACATCATATGAACGATGCGTTTCTGATACTTTCTGGATTTCACCATTTCTACGATGAAGAATTATGTCGCGAGAAGTAAATTCTTTACCAACTATCACAATTGCCACTTCATCAATCGTTGGTGCGTTGAATTTTCTTCGACGTTGACCAATAGGTGTTTTATCTGCTTTTATTACTTTGTAATCGTCAGATGGCATTTGTTCAATGGCGGTTTTAAATAATTTAATCAATTCATTATGTTGTTCAGCGGCAATCTCTCGTTTAGTACTCATATTCAGCTGACACCGTCTGTTGATTTATTCGTCAGTATTTTCCATAAAATACATCTGAATATATTTGTGATCAGCATTTGGCAAGGATAGTAGTGATCCAGTATGGTGATAAATTTGCCCTTGTACTTTAAGTGTTGGCATATAATTTGCGCTAATGATATTCGTTGCTCCGAACGATGTCATTTGGAAGCATGAATTGTACTTGCGTATATTTTTCAAAAAATTTTTTGATTGACTTGTTTCACCTGATACTAAAGTTAGTAATGGTGCAGGTGGTGAACGCAAGTTTGGTAACTTTACTTTTCCACCTGCACAGCACATACCTGGTGTTTCAGTTTTAAATTTTTGAGCACCACAATACGTGCACTTTTTATTCATTTTTCCAATAATTACACTTGGATGAAGACTGTAATTGTAAAGGGGATTGCAATTGAAACCACACAAATTCAAATCAGTATGTATCGTTCGTCTTGTCTGTGTCCCGCGAATTCGATTCCTTTGCTGCCTTGCTTGCCTCTGTTCACTCGTTTCTGATGATCGAGCAAGGGCAGTGTGATTTCGCTCTCTTTCTTGCCTAACTTGTCTCTGCTCACTTCTTTCTAATGATCGAGCAAGAGCAGTGTGATCTCGCTCTCTTTCTTGCCTAGCTTGTCTCTGCTCACTTGTTTCTGAAGCTCGTTCTTCTCTTCTTCTTTTTGCTTGATTTGTAGATCGACCAATGGCACTTCGCTTCGGTGGCATAATTGAGGGGTTAAATAAGACGTATTTCCAAAAAATATTAATACTTTTCACGTATTAATAATTTATTCTCGTATTAATAATTGCAAAATTTTTTGATATCTTAAAAAACAACCTACAAACGTATTACATCCGATAAAAAATAATAGAAGTTGCCATCTTCAGTCATTGTAAAGTAGTAATAATACAGAATTTGATATCACGCGAATAATACAAATTATAACAATTATACAAACACTCTAGCAAATATTACATTACGTCATATTATATTACCAATTAAATGTTATTTTGATATTTTTTGAATGAAATTTGCTTTTGCCTTGATATTTATTAAACAGTTTTCACAATTCGCGATCGCAACGAACTATAGGGGGCGTTGTTGTATGAGACTAATACCTGCGATTTCTATATGAACAGTCATTCAGTTACTCTAGAGACGTCGTTAATGTAGCACGTAGCATTGCAACGTTCCTTCTTTATTGTGGCTAATTAAATTTAAAAAAGAAAAATGCTTGATATTCTTTCTTATGCAAACGAAAACAAAATGGTATCTCTTTTTA